GAAAGTGGGAATCATTGTCTTATTCTACTTCTTAGAGGAAAATATTTCAGTTTTCTCCCATTCAGTGCAATGTTAGCTGTGAGTTTGTCATAGATGGCCTTATTGTGTTTGTTCTGCACTCAGTTTGTTGAGAACTTTTATCACAAAGGGACGTTGTATTTTATCAAGTGATTTCTCTGCATCTATTGTGTTGGTCATATGGTTTTTGTCCTTCATTCTGCTGATGTGATGTATCACATGTATTGATTTGCACATGTTAAACCATCCTTTCTTCCCTGCTATAAATCTCGCTTGATCATGATATATTATCTTTTTCAGATGCTGTTGGATTAGATATGCTAGAGTTTTGTTGAATATTTTTATGTCTATGTTCATCAGGGATATTGATGTATAATTCTCTTTTTTTGTTGTGTCCTTGTCTGGTTTTTTGGTATCAAGGTAATGATGGCATTGCAGAATGAATTGGGAGAATTCCATCTTCTTTGATTTTTTGGAATGATTTTATGAGAATTGTTCTTCTTGGTTTGTTCGATACAATTCAGTTGTGAATCCCTTTGGTCTTGGGCTTTTCTTTGTTGGGGGATTTTTTTGTTACTGATCTGATATCACTACTCATTATTGGTCTCTTTAGGTGTTCTTTTTCTTCTTGATTCAATATTGGTATGTTGTATGTTTCCAAGAGTTTATTCATTTAACTATGTTTTCCAGGTTTTCAATGTATAGTTATTCAAAGCAATCTCTGATTATCTTTTGTATTTCTGTAGTATCAGTAGTAATGACTCCTTTTTAATTTATGATTTTATTTGGGTCTTTTCTTGGCTAGTCTAGCTAGTGGTTTATTAATGTTATTTACCTTTTTAAAGAACTTTTGAAAGGTTTGTTGCATTGACCCTTTGTAAGGTTTTTGGTTCTATTTCATTTAGCTCTACCCTTTATTACTTCTGTCTTCCTAATAATTTGGGATTTGATTTATTCTTGCTTTTCCAATTACTTGAAGTACACCATTAGATTTTTAATTTGTAATCGTTCCACTTTTTTGGTGTAGGGATTTATTGCTATAAATGTCCCTTTTAACTCTGCTTTTGCTCTATTCCACAGGTTTGTGTATGTTGTGTTTTCATTTCATTTTCCATTAGTTTAAGAAATTTTTTAATTTCTGTCTTAATTTTTTTATTGACCCAATGGTCCTTCAGGAGCATGTTGTTTAATTACTATGCCTTTGTCAAGTTTCCAAATTCTTATTGGTATTGATTTCTAGCTTTTGTCCACTGTGATCTGAGAAGATACTTGATATGACACATAGTCTTTTTTTAAATTTGTTGAGACTCATTTTGTGGCCTAACATATGGTCTATCCTGGAGAATGTTCTATGTGCTGATGAAAAGAATGTATATTCTGTACTTTTTGGGTAAAATGTTCTGTGAAAGTCTATTAGGTGCATTTGGTCTAAAGCCCAGCTTAAATCCAATATTTCTTTGTTGACATTCTGTCTAGAATTTAATTCTGCTGAGAGTATTATAGTCCCTTATTGTTATTGTATTTCAGTCTATCTCTCTTTTTAGATCTAGCAATATTTGCTTTATGAATCCAGGGTGCTCGAGTGTTGGGTGCATATATATGTAGAGTTGCTATATCCTTCAGCTGGATTAACCCCTTTATCATTATATAATGACCTTATTTGTCTTGTTTTACTGTTTTTGGCTTAAAGTCAAAACATTAACTTAAAGATAAAACATTATCTGATTTATGTATAGCTACTCCTGCTTACTTTTGGTTTCCATTTGTGTGGAACATCTTTTTGCATATGTTATTTTCAGTCTACATGTGTTTTTATAGTAAGGTGAATTTCTAGTATGTGCATGTAGTTGGATCATGTTGTTTTATCCATTTAACAATTCTATATCTTTTAAGTGGATAATTTAATCTCTTTATATTCAAGATTATTATTGATATGTGAGGCTTTGTTCCTTGTCATATTATTGTTTTCTAATTATTTATATTCTTTGTTCCTTTCTTTTTCTTATTGTTTGTCCTTGTGGTCTGGTATATTTTTGTAGTAGTATCGACTGAGTCCTTTCTCTTCCTCCTTTGTATGATTGCTTTACTAGTGAGTTTTATACTTTCATGTGTTTTCATGATGAGAAATGTTGTACTTTTGTTTGTAGGTTCACTTCCGAGACGTCCTGGAGCATTTCTTATAAGTCCTTTCTTGTGATAACAAATTCCCTCAGCATTTGGTTATCTGGGAAATACTTTATTTCTCCTTCATTTATGAAGGATAATTTTTGCTGAATATAGTATTCTCAACTAGTGGTTTTCTTTATCTTTACTTTTAGCACTTTGCATATGTCATTCCATTCTCTTCTGGCCTTAAGTTTTCTGCTGGGAAATCCACTGTTAGTCTGATAGGATTTTCTTTATGGATGACTAGATACTTTTCTCTTGCTATTTTTAAAACTCACTATTTATCTTTGACTTTAGACAGTCTGATTATAATATGCTGTGAAGAAGCCCTTTCTGCATTGTATATTCCTGGGGATTGTTGAGCCTCCCGTTTCTGAATATCTAAATCTCTTGCGAGACTTCAAAAGTTATCATCTATTATTTTATTAAATAGATTTTCTAATACTTTGATTTTCTTTTCATCCTCAAAGATACTGATAATTTATATATTTGGTTGCTTTATGTGTCCGAAATGTCATGAAGGCTTTGCTCACTATTTTTTGTTCTTTCTCTCCTTATTTTTATCTGACCAGTTATTCCCAATTATAGGCAGTTCCCAGGTTATTTATGAGATAGGTTTGTTCTTAAGTTGAATTTGTATGTAAGTTGGAACAGATACATTTACCTGTAATAGCCTTCTTTCATAAGCACAAGTTATATATCAGTTGTATGTTTATAATTCAGAGACTTACTGTAATAGCTTCCATTTGTAAGTACAAGTTGTACATAAGTTGGATGTCTGTAACTAAGGAACTGCCTACAATCAAACATCAAGTTCTGAGATTCTTTCTTTTGCCTGATCTAGTCTGTCAGTGAAGTTTCCAAATGTATTTGCATTTCCTTCAATAAGTTCTTCAGTTTCAGAATTTCTGGTTTTTCCTTTTTCAGAATAATAATCTTTTTGGCAAATATCTTATTCATATCCTCAATTGTTTCTCTGATTTCTTTGTATCATTTTTCAGAATTCTCTTATAGTTTACTTCTTTAAAATCAGTATTTTGAATTTTTCTATGGAATTTTGAAAATTCCTTTTTGATTGAAATCTATTGCAGGAGAATTATTGCATCCCATTGGCAGTGTCATAGTTCCTTGTTTTTTTTATGTTTCCTGTATCCTTACATTGATGTCTGCACATCTGGTATAGTATAACATTTGTTACTTTCTATTTTTGAATTTACTCTTATAGGGGAGAGGTTTGTCCTGAAGATGTATCTGTGGTGTTGGTTGGCTAGGGCACTTTGCCTTTGAATTGGGTGTGTACACTAGGGCAATCTCTGTCTGATTTCCTTGGGTATAAACAGCATTAGTTCTTTTTGTGATTTCCTCAGATGGTTAATGTGTAGTTATAAGTAAAGCTAGGTTGAAGTTGTTCTGGGGAATGAGAAAATAGGAAGCCAGTAAGCTAGTCTTCAGTCTGCATTAGTGACATTGGTGGATTGTGTATATATCTGAGGGCTGTGTACACTGACAACTGTTTCCTTGGTTAACAGTGGTCTCATTGTTGGGCTTCTGGGTAGCTTGCTTGGGTATAGGTAGTGACAGTGGTAGGCTGGGCAGGTGAATGAGTTCCCCTGGTAGGCTGGTGTGGTTTGGTGATGGTGGTAGCTGTGGTGGTATGATCCCCTGAGTCACAAGTGGTATATAGGCTGGTACTGGCAGTGGTTACAATGCAAGTGTGCCCTTAATAGCCCCAAACACTCTGTTTTCAGGCTCTCCTGGTTTCTGAAACATCAGTGCCACTGTGCCACAAAAAGAGGGGAGAGACCCCACCTTCACATGCAGGCCTGGCCTTGGAGGCCATGATGCCAGTAGGGTTGCAGTCACCACTCACCATCCCAGTGGCAGTAGGAGTGGATATGCACAGGGAGGATAGGGTAGCTCTATATGAGAACTGAGCACAGAGACCATTCTGCTGATGGAAGGGCCTGAATATTTTCTACATGAGGTTGGTTGAATACAGGAATGCACAGCCCACAAGTATAGAGGGCCAACTCTATGGGAGATATAAAACATGAAGCACCTGGGCCCTCTCACCTTTGTTTATGCCTCTTCAAACCAGAATCTCACTCAAGGATTTTTTTTGGAAATTCCCTAAACATCTCTAACAATTGTGCCAGGTGGTTATGTGGAAATAGCATGTTTCCAAATATTACACTCTTAAAGCCCTATAGATGACCACCTGAAAACGGACTCAACAAATCTCTGTGCAGAGAAAAGGTAGCAACTGACATGTTTTGAGGACAGGGGTAGGAATGCGCTTATAGGCTATTCACCTATACCTATTTTTATTTTGCAGAGGAGGAAACTAACTTTTGTAGAAATAAAGAAATAAAATGAGTTGATGGAGACCCGGTAAATTAATCAGTGGTACTGCCCAGCATATAAAGCCCTTTCCCGGCTTCTGCAATCCATGATACACTATAATAGTTCACTGATGACATACTATGAGATTTTGTTGATCCTCATGAATAAATATAAATTCCTTGATTCTCTCTACTCAATACACAAAAACTAGTAGAAATAAGTGTTAGAAATAACTAGGATGAGTGAAACTTGTAATGTATATAAAGTTCGATTAGAATGTTTATACTCTTCTTTTCTTACAGTTTTATTCGTAATTATCCCACTCAATAATATTATACTTCATTCTTTTTAATGAGATTTTATTCTTATAAAAGTCTAGAATGTGTCATTTTCTGTAAGTGTCTATTGTTAGATCAGTAGGTCATGTAAACTATAGCAGGTTTGTATATGTTTTTTTTTCTTTTTTTGTCTAGATATGCAACTGACAAATGAAAAACATGCAGACGAGAGACCCATTAATGCTATCGTTATAAATTCAGTATCCGAATTCAATATCACAGATGGACCAGCCAAGGAAACCCCCAATGAGAAAAAACTGTCAGAATCCAGCACATCACTGTCCTCCCTTGAAGAATGCCAAACGAAATTTTCTTACCTCCAAACTGATACTTCAGTTCATGAGAGAGACACTGATGGTATGTTTCTCAGAATTCAACCCATCTCTAAATAAAGCTCCCCAACCCCCAGCCCCTGTAAAATCATCGCATATGCTGTTAGGAAAAAAAAAAGTCTTTATGAATATTAAACAGGAAGACTTCAATTTGCAAACCCTGGTGAATGACACATGTCAAGGTCACTTTGCAGTTATGAGGTGCTTGGCAGATTGTTTGTTCTCAAAGCTGGGAATCAGAGGCAACATGTTTTAAATAGCTGGAGTAGGACATCATCATTCTTGCTATGGGGCTAGGAAGTGGATAAAGAAAAATGGAAAACTTCTTTCTCGTCTCAGATATGGGACTACTCAACCTGTGTCTCTAGGCATAGACAAGGTAAAAAAGCTAGAGTAGAATGGTATTAAAATTCTGGAAAATACAAACATAAGTAGTATCAAATATTAAGATGCTTATACATTAGCAATCTATGGAAAAGGATTGTTTTCTCTAGGTTCACTTCCTAAACATCCTCATTAGTGCAAACCTACACCAGACCATCCTTGTATGTGATAATAAAGGTATATTCCATTTGTAAAGCCAATTTCAAATCAATTTGGTGCTAAGTGATCAGCACAATCAAGTTCAAATTCGTAAACTCCACACCAAGACATGGAATTTTACTCTAGTTGACTTTGAAGTGACCTTCACAGGAGACATAAACCATTCAATATTATAGTGTTCCCTATCATCCATGTTTGCACTTACGAAAAGCCTGGAATTTCTTAAAACTGTAACAGGGTATTGCTTCTAGTCTATATTTAAATTCATACTTACTTTTTGAAAATAAGAAAAAAGTAAATAAACTTTTGGAATCGTATCAGTTTAACCCCTGCCTCTAAAGTTTATTAACTATCTAACACTGGACAAGTTTCTCTGCCATCTCTCAACCAGTCTCTCAGTAATATAATGGGGCTAGGAACACATCTTGGGGTATTTTGAGGATGAAATAAAATAACATGTGAAAAGCACTTAGTACAAAAGCAGACACATAGAAGCTTCAGCTTTCGTTATGATTACAGTTTTAGAAAGCAAAAGGAGAGAAGATTTCTAACACTCGTTTTACATATATGTGGTACCTTATGCACAAGTAGTCACGGACGCTTTCGAGCAGAAACTGCAGACTGGATTGCCCGTGCTGGCCACGAGAGAGTGTGAATAGTGAAGTCAATGGAAGTAGATGGGGGATTTGAGAGGACTGTAGCCAGCTGAAGAGCATATGCCTCATCTACAGGTCACTACCTTGACTCAGCCCCAGTTGTTTGTGGCAGAAGGAAACGTAGGCCCAGAGTTGCAAGAGTTTGAAATTGTCCAAGAAAGCAAGAGACCAGGAGTGTTATGTTCAATTTCTGTGTTCCACTGTTGATCACTAGTTTGATTTATTATAGGAAGCCCAAGACACTCCCAGCAACACATCTTTGAGCCAAGTTCGGCCTGCAGACTGTCGGGTCATGGCATTGAATTCGGGCTGGTGCTCAGTTCTCTAGCTTTGGTGGAGGGGAATGCCAGTCAGGGGACCAGGTAATTCAGGAGAGTTCTCTTCAAATGCATTTTAATGCAAGAGCATCTTATCAAATTGTACCAGGGATGCATGGATGTTGCTTATATTTAGGTGAACAGTCCCAGAATTAGGAATTGTTGTACATATGAGGTTGGAAAATTAACTTCACAAATTCATCCTAGAGAAAAGGCTACATGCCTCATTGCTAAATATCACTACGGTAACCTTCAAAGTATTCCTTTTGGCCATCTGGTGACCTTAGTGCTAGTTAGCAATGAGGTGTGTAGCACTTTTTCTAGGAGTTCATATACCTAATTGTCCAACGGCATATCCACACAGTAAACATAGGGTCCCCGCAGAACCCCTGTGATCTGTCCTATCAGTAATACTGGGACAATGAGGAGGGCCAGCCAACCAGCATGACGCCTGAACCCTGTATTCTCAGGGAAGGGCCAAGATGACTGCTCCATTCAAATGGCACTGATACTAATAAAGAGCCTAGTGTAAAAAGGGTCTTTTTGTTAAATAGCAGAACACTCTTTGTTCAAAGAGCAAAGGACATTCATGAGGATAACTGAACTGGGCTGTTATTCTGAAAGACTTAGCGGAGGCCACCATGACCAGGAAGTTCAGGTTGTCAGCTGATGGCGTAGGTAATAGGCCATCCTTACTTCACCACCACCCTCGTGTGAAAAGTCTCCCCAGTGAAGCAAGAGCTTTTGGTACCTGGGTAAAAAAGAAAGTAAAACCCCAGACTAAGACCCACAGAGAGTGATAAGAAGCTCTCGTTACCCTAAACAGCAAACATCAAGGAAATCAAGAGTTAAGTCAGACTCACTTCATTTTAGAGAATTCTTAGATAGTAATTAATTTAAGGATGCAGAAATTGAGAGTGGGGTCATTGTTCGTACTGAGATAAATACAGAAATATCTTTCAGGAACAGCAGGGAAAACAGAAGGGGAAAAAGAAGATTGCATCCACTTTCATGTAGTTTGTGGTTAATTTATTTTCAAATGTATAAATGAGTGCATAGGAATGGATGCTTAATTGCTAATATCTATTATTTATATACATTGCCCCACTTAAAACAGGATGGAAAAGCCTCACACATGCAGATTTTGTAAAATGTGTTACATCCATTAGCACAGTTCATGGTGTGTGCTCTGATGGGAATTTAAAAGGATCTTTACTGCACATCACACACTATGTGCTACAACATTACTTTATTATTAAATTGTGGTTCATCGTGTGTGGTCTCTTTCCTGAAGAAAATGGTAAAAGTCCAGAGAAGGATGTGTGTCCTGCTTCTATTTCTACCACATTTGATTTCAAAAGCATCCATGGATAAGGAAATCAGGAATACACATGATATGAGAAAACAGGCCCCTTAAAAAAACAATCCCCAGAATGTATCTAATTGACGTATAATTTTGAATTTGAGACATCTCATCCAGGTGGAAGAGGAAATCATAAATAGAAGATATCTCAAAAGAATAGTCTTAATTACACCATGGACTACTGAATAAAATGATTACATTTTCTACACTGTAAATTTCATACAATTAAATGCAGGAGTGTCACCTTATAAAATGTTTCAATTTTATAATTATTTCAGTTCATTTGCTCAGAAAAAAACATAAGCACAAATTTACTAAGTATCACCCAAATCTAGTCATTCTAGTTCTAAAGAACTGACTTGAATGTTAGTTGTGCTTGTCTGAACTTAAATAGATCTTGACATATTTAAGTAGCTATTAAAATTGATAGCATCAGAGATGATACCCCAGGTAGAGAAAGGCATTCAGTCACACATTATTTATTCCCATTCTACATTACAGACATATTTTTAAGAACTTAATGTAGGGAGAGTAGGAGCCAGTTTTTATACTTCCAAGCAAAAAACTTTTAGTAATCAGTCTGAGCCATCATGTCGTGAATCTCGTGATGTCAAATCTCTGTAATAGCCCATTAACTCATTAAAATACTAGGTTTGGGCCAGGGTTTATTTTGCCTCTTTTTTTTTTTTCTTAATTTGTTTTGGCGGGGGCGGGGGTGTGTGTGGTTTATGTGGGATCACTTAGGATAATGATCCCCAAGTTAGCAGGAGGTGTGTTTCTGGAGCCAGGTGATGCCCTCTCCTCTGTCCTATTTCCTAATCACGGGCGCCAAGGTGGCCAGCAAAACGGGAGGGCAGAGGCAGGGAGTCCAGCACCCTGACCATGAGGCCACCCTCAGGCTCACCTGTGGAACCTTCTTGCTGTGATGACCTTTCCACCACAATTAAAATGATCCTTTCTAGTGAGACAGATGCTTCCTCTTAATTAGACAATTCCCAGTTGCACATTTAGCACCTCTGGAAGCTGCCTTAATTCGTCAGTGTCATTAGGATGTCAGTTAGCACATTGCAGCCTAGATGTCCTAAAGGTACTGACGGGGGAGAAAAGGAGATGAAACAAGTAAGAGGATTCTGTGGTGGCTTCCTGCTCACAGCCAAATGCCACCATGGGCTGGGTGATCTGCAGGGCTGTGATCCCTCTTCAACCTTCCTTCACCAGGTTGAAGGAGTGGGAGAGCCACGTGGGCACTCTGATAGTGGTGCGTAGAGCCTATGCTGGATGCCAGGTGGTCCCATAGAGAAGATTTAACATGTTCACAGGTTCTTACAAAGCAGTGGTTCTCAACCTTCCTAATGCCACAACCCTTTAATACAGTTGCTGTGGGTCTCGACCCACAGGTTGAGAACCACTGTGAAAGGTATCAGAAGAGCAGAGAAGCCAAATTCAGTGAACAGTGAGGCACCCAGAATTATCAGCACAAAGCAACCTCTCCCATCTCCACCCTTTGTCCCCTGACACTAGAAGACACTTGTAACTAATCATTATTTAGGCTACTAGTCACTGGCATGAGCCAGAGCCCCAGACAGAAGAGCTGTTCAGAGAGGCATAAAAACAAGGAGATGCCACCACTATCTAAGACCCAACCCACGCAGAGGGAGGGGAGCAGAAGCACCTGAGCCTTCCCTTCCTCCCCTCCCCCTGCTTCCTCCTGATGCCTCCTATTGGCTGGATGCAGCCACAGGCCCAAAGGGCGTGTGGAAAACACTTTGCCAGTCTCAGAACCATAATAGCAAAGAGCAGGATGGGAGGTGACGGTGGAGAGGGAAGTGATAGAAAGAAAGGAAGAGTGTTCTGGAGGGCAGGTCCTCTGTGTAGTTAAAAGCCCTGGAGCAGCTGGTCTGGGTTTACATTATAGCCCCCATGACACCCCATGTTTCCTGGGAATGTCTCTTAAACTTTCCAACACAGTTTCCTCAGCTATTAACAGGAATAAGAATAGCAGTCACCACAGGGTCATTGCAGGATGCACCGAAAATGTAGAGGGCTATAGATTGATTTTAGGTGCAGCAGTTTGCACATTACAATGGTAGGATCAAGAGTCAGGCTTTGGATCCAGAAAGACCTAGATTTGAATCCCTGCCCTCCTTACCTTATGGTTGGGAGGACTTAGGACAGGCAGTAGCAATCTCTTTCCAAACTTTAGTCCTTTCATGTGAAAAATCGGGATCTTAGTATTTACTTCTCAGATTCATTCATTATTGACTTATTCAACAAAAGATATGGTTTTCTTCCCTCCTACAACTTACAGTCTAGTAGGAGGGGATAAGAAACTAATTGATTTAAAAACATTGATTTAATGCTTTTCTGTGGTCAGTGAGGTGAAGGGAAAAACAGGATGCTGTGAAGATTTCTGTGAGATATGATTTTACAGAGACGATGTTTTTAAGCTAAACACCTACAAATTTAAATAGGAGTTGCATCAGGTTAAATAGGGGTGGGGGACGGTGGAGGCAAAAGGCACAGCATATGCAAAGGCCCTGAGCCAGGTGTCTTCCACATACTGAAGTTTAGCCATTGTCTCTGAAGTGTTGTGTGTAAGGAGTAAGATGGATCCAGAAGTCAGAAAAATAGATAAGAACCCAATTATGCAGGAGATGGCAGGCTATGGCAAGGATTTGGGATTTGAAAGGGAGAGGAACTTGTTCAAATTTAGGATTAAAAATATCTCGAGAGCAGGTGAATTTGAAGTGGATTCACATGGAACCAAAGTGTCCTAGACACTGTTGACCTGGTGACGGTTGATGGTGTCCAGGACTAAGACAGAGCCACTGGAGGTCAGTAGAGGTTGCAGATTTCAAATGCAAATATGGGGAGGAGTCAGCAGGATTCAGCAATGAACTGGATAAGGAGGAAATGTGGAGGAAGAGAGAAACAACAAAGAATGATTCCCAGATCTCTGGCAAATTCATCTGGGTGCTCAGGAGCCATTCATAGGAGGAAAATGGCGGAGGGTCAGGTTTATGGGATGGAGAAACAGAGAGAGCCAGAATGCAGAAGAGACACCAACCTCGAAATTGGAGACAAGTCATATTCTTTTGGATGTGCCAGGAGAAGGGATGCTAATCATGGGATATGAGTTTGAATATCATGTTTACTAAACGTTAAATGCCAGGAAACAGTATAGCCAAGGAAAAACAGACTCATTCAAGAGAAGGCGGAGTCCGAGCTCTTTTCAAACAGTTACAAATTTTCCCCTGAACTGCTTGTGTTACTTTTGTGCAAACAAAAACTGACCATATGCAAAACGATTTTGCCTGCTCATGTAGAATCATTTAATACGCCTTTTAGGAAAAGTGTGGGGCACACTTGAAAGTTTGGAAAAATCTGTTTTCAATTCATTAACGTTACCATGTATTTTTTGGGCAAGAGGCTCTGCCTTTTAAAGCCAAATAAAAAGGACTGACTTAGAAACAGAAAAAAAGAAAGAAAAAGGCTTCTATTCTCAAGTGCAAAATAGGGAGGTGGATGGAAGTAAATGCCAATTTGGCCAAAGGATTAAGCCAAAACGTAAAAAAAAAAAAAAAAAAAAAAAAAAATCTATGGTATCCGTCAGAAGTGGAGACCTCCACGGTCTGCCAACTCAAGGAAATACTGGCAAGATGAACTGACCCAGAAGGTTATATGCCCTCAGAAAGCTATAAGGTCATTTTACAGACAAGTTCTTCATACTCTGATAGGGGAACACCAGCTCTTATCCTCAAAGTCACCTGCACCCTACCCTGCTTTCCTCCAAACCAAGCTTTCAACCTGGCGTGTATCAAGGAGAGGATCTAGCAGGGTCATTTTTCTATTATTACAAGCCTAAGTCTCTTGAGTCTCCAGCCTGCGAGGTCACAGATGTTTGTTTGGAATATTTTGTACTGAACACCTCCTCTCGTAGCTGTCTTGGTGTTGGTAAGAGTTGGTGAAGCTGTACATCCCGTGTCTCTGAGCCACAACACCCTCTCTTTGCCTCGGCAAAATAGAGTCTAGGTACTGTTACTAACTTCCCCCTGCATCTGTTGTGGGTGGTTTGTGGTGACTTGTGAGATATGAGTGAGTTGGCCAAATGCTAGAAGCTGGCTCTAAGGGAATAAACATACACCAAGTTTGGTGAAGAGAGGAGTGTGTGCAGCAGAGAGGCCCTGTGATTATAAATACTGAGTAATGGCCACAGCACCTGCAACTCTGCGTGGCAATTACAGTGTTCATTAAAGTCGCTGTGTGGTTCCTCACCACCACCTTTCTGGGAGGAAAAGAAGAGCAGAGTCAGAGGAGAGAGACAGAATCAGAGAGAGGAAGGAAAATGTCTATTTTCCCACATTCAGGACTCAGCTTAGAACGTTATGTAGTGTTTTTTACAAGATATTGAACTTGTTTTCTTTAAACTATTTGTTCCTTTTCAGAACATGTTTCCGTGTTTTTCTTTCTCTTAAAGATTAATAAGTATATAAACAATGACAGAAAAAGCATTTTCCAGAAAATATTGTTTGAAGTGAATGGAAGGGCTAGGAAAACACTTAGACCAGCGGTTCTCAACCTGCGGGTCATGACCCCTTTGGACTGTAGTAAAGGGCTGCAGCAGTAGGAAGGTTGAGAACCACTGACTTAGACCATCACATTTGAGGCAGAGGGAAAAATCTCTTCCGTAGGCTTCTATAGACTCCAACTCCTTTGACTAAAGTCTGCAAACCAAAACGTCATCAGAGTCCTCACTGTGAAAAAAGTAGATCCTTGTGACACTCAACTATAATCAATTGATAGACCATCTGGAGGGGAAACTTTTCCCAACTCATCCTCAAATGGTACTTTCAATCATCAACAATCTCCAGATTACTGATTTTAATTAATTGGATACTATATCACAGGAACACATACCCCCTCTTTTATGAAACACTCACACATTTGCGAGACTTTAACTTAAAGAAAGAGAGAAAAGTTATAATTTTAACAAGAGAACTGCTACATCTTCTAACTAATTCCCTTTATGGAAACAAAAAATATAATAATCTATAACCCATCACAGCTGTTTGGCTAGAATTACCAATTACCTTTTAGGCCTTAGAGATACTTTCCAGACTTTTACAAGTCTGCATAGTAAATTTTTAAACCAATTTTCTTAAAGAGAATTGATAAGATTTAAAACCTCTTAGGCATGTGATGACGTATTTCACTTAAACAACTTGATATAAAATCGAGGCTTTACATAACTGGAAGAAAACGGAAACAGGGATTAAAAATAAAACACAACCCCAAAGCTGTGATTATTTTAAAAAGCATTTATATTAAGTTTTGAAATGTGCTTTTCGCTTGCATCTGAATGTGGGCGTGGCGGATTTATGGGAATCCATGGCGAACAAATAACAAAGCCTGGTGACGAGAAGCAGGGCATTTGTGCCCATCTCTCCCTGGCCCCAGCTCTAATTGCTCCTAAGCCTCCTGCATTTGGAGAAGCCCTGTTATTTTTCAGATGGTCGTACGGTTTCCAGAGAGGCAGCTAATTGTGTGGCTTCCCAGCACCTCTGTAAGCAAAGTAAATAAGGGAGTTTAGAAAAGTGACAGCACTTTAAATAACCAGATTATGTCGAATCAATAGGAAATGCTCAGGAAGTTAATAAAGCAATTACTTAAGCAGAGCGAGTACTGGCCTGGGGGTGGGGGAGGTGGAGAGAACGGTGTACATCACCCCTAATGCGGATAAATAATTAAGGACTGGGCTCTCAAGTTATCAGGTACGCCCCACACGTGCTTGCCCTTCACAGATGCCCCCAGATGTGCCACTATTAATCGTCTTTCTGCTTTCTTGAACAGAGGCGTGTGCCTCCCTTATCCTCACCTGTCTGTTTTGTCAGTTCTGGGACTGTCTTCTGATGCTCCCCGACACGTGTGAAACAGTCTGTACCAAGCTGTGTTGTCCTTCCCACCGGTACCACCACACTGCAGACGAAAACCACTCTCGGAATGATTGCAACTGCAACTGTGACATGGACTGCAGCCTTTTTGAATCTTGCCATGAGACCAGCGAGTGTCTGGAGCTGGCCATGGAGATTTCAGAAATCTGTTACCGCTAGCACAATGAAGTAACCACGTTCCACAGTCCTTTTGGCCACAGTGGGAAATTCCATTACGACAAGGCTGTGTTTCCATGTGCTGAAATGTAAGGACTGTACACATTTCTTGGATGCTCTAGGCCATTTTATTCTGCACCTGTCTGGGAAAGCTAGTATTGTCAATTCAACGATCTTAGTCCAAATTTCACAACCGCATGGCTCGCTGAAAAATAAGATTCCTGATCCCGTGGATGAACAAATCTTAAATACCTCTTAAATGCCATAGGTACAAGATGTTTCTTAACTCTCAAATAGCATGTTAAACCACTCTGTGTTACTGCATTCATCGGCTCGCCTCATGGATCCAACCCCATTCACAAATTCAGGACAAATTAGTGCATTTGTTTAGCATTGACATACATTAGCTCATCTTTCTAATGGACTCATGCATAAACATTATGCATTGTTGGTTATTATTAATAATGCATTGTAGAACATCATTTTGTAATTAAAAATTTATTTATACAGTCTCTTAAAATTCACTTATAGGTACAGTTTAGGTAGGAAAGGGAATTAAATGAATTAGAAACCATGTTCCTGTAATTACAACAGATGTCTCTAAAATATCTCCAGTGAATTTTGAATATGGTGTACTTCAAGAGAGTACTATAATTCTAAACCGCATTATTATATGTCTATGGCTATGTCATAACAGGTTACGCATATTCTTAATTTCTTACTGAAAGGCTCTTCTTTATTCTAATAAGCACAAATGGGAATTATGTGACCTCAGATAATCAATTCTTCATTTTCCTCCTTTCTGTTTGTCAGGTACAGTAAGAAACAGGATATTAAAACAGAATCAGTTCATTTTACTCAACTATCATTTCTGTGGATGCCCCTAAGACCCATGCAGGCACTTAGTCAACCCCGAATTTCCTAACACTGTATATGCTTCATGAACCGTACCTTTTCTTTTCCTAATAATTAAAGTAATTAATAATTAAGTCGAGCACTTCTTTCGACCCCATTAAAAAAAGATGTGCTATACAATGGAAAATGATTTTTAACTCAAATAAGTGAAAACAAACATTTTGTGAGGAAAACACATCTCGGTTGAAGTTATTTTGGAATCCTTTTTGCTTCCTGTAGGCATGGTTCCATAGTCAAATCCATCATTGCTCATTAATTTGTGTTCATACATTTGCATGGATGTATCTCCGTATACTCACTGAATGTAAAAAAGCATAAGGTACCAATAACAAAACAAAAAACAGAAAAAAGAAGTGGGAAACTAAGGATCTAGGGCAAGAGAAACAATAGAAAACTCCAAACTCCCTGTTAATTTGAGGCAAAAGCAAAGTTTGTTTTATTTCTGTAGTAAACAAAAATATTGTTCTAATGCAATATAAATTCTCCAGAATATTGAAAACTACTAGTCTTAAAGAATACATTTTTAAGCTGCTTCTAAAAAGGTATTTAACTGCTCTTGACTTGCTTCTGATGGCACAGCACCTCCATGGCGAATGCCGGCTTCATTCCTGCTGGCTGAGCACAGCGTTCACAAACCACAGAGCTTGAGCGCACCCCGCACCCTCTCTGAAACGTTTCCGTCTCTCTGCTTTCCAGAAGCTCAAAGGGACAGTGCTGTTATACTCTCTGCATAGAACTTATAGATCATAGAGAAGAGAAAAAGTACATTCTTAGAATAGGAAGAGAACCGAGGGCTGCTCTCCTCCAACATTCTCATGTTTCATAAGAGAAAACAGAGGCCCCAAGAACTGACTTATCCAAGACCACACAGGGAGTTAACGGCAGGGTGAGGAGCTCCAGTGCAGGGTCTAATTCTCTGACTACACCACACTGCTCCACAGTCCTCCCCTTCTTAGTCCAGCTGGTACACAGCGGTCCAGCTGTTCCAATTGTTAAAATACTAAAATACTACCAGACTGGCTCTTAAACACTTGTAGCCTTGGAGCTCTTTGGTGCCTCCTTCATGTCCTAGCCACCCTAGCTCCCTCTCTGAGGACCCTGCTAATGGTCTAGTGACCCACAGTTGAACACCTGGCCCTGCAGATGTCTCTAGAAGGCTATCCCGGTACTATGGTGCCTGGTGTCATCGGTCAGCCCATGCCATACTGAGGTTAAATATTTTGACCATCATTCCCTCATTCTTTTTAATCTACATACCCTTAAATTATGTAAAGATTGTACATCTCAAATGTGAATGAATGCTTACCAATTAGAAACATAAAAATCACCGGTCTTATTTTATAATGTGGTCAGAATATTACAAGATCTTTCTGTGGCCGTGCTTTCCACGGTTTGTTAACTCTGTTCCTCACTTTCAGAATTCACCGTGCTATACCAGAAAGGGTCGGTTATACAAAGTGTGAAATTTCTTTTCTTTATAACCAATAATAAAACATCATCCTTTCTGCAAACATGAATGGCTCTTTCAATTGAATTCTTACACAATAAAACATGTGCAGCCGGGAAAATACAATTGCAGGGGTAAGGCAGATCAAAAGGGATGTGGTTATTGATTAAATACAAATATCAGAATCTGAGAAGGCTCAGGTATTTTCTGCAATGATGAAGGCCTGTGATTACAAATAAAGGTAACGTTGTTCTTTAAGGTGGGACTTCTTAGGGATCGGCGTGTTCTGATTTAAGGAAGCATGCTAAACTAAAGGAGATTTGAGAACACACAACCTTTATAGAAAACGGAGAACAGAGGTTTGTCTTTCCCTACAGCAATATCACCACATGGCTACATCATCTTTGCTTTGCTCAATGGAACTTTTATAAAACCTTTGCTTCTCTAAAAGCTGACAAAATATGGAAAGCAATGAAGAAACAAAGTTACATTTAACTGGCTAATGAAATTTCCCTACTACAGGAGCCGATAGGCCTACAAAACTAATTATCAGTGCTGGACAATCAAAGTTAATAGAGCGAAAAGTCGCTTCAGTTTTTTTCCAAGGGAGTAAGAAAACATATTCAGGCAGGGGAACTTTACAAATAGGAAACATCGTGGGAGGGGAGATCAGCATTTTTTTTTTCCAGGATAAATGTGTAGGTGGAAGTGTTTGATAGACAGAATTCATCTCCCAGTGTTTCTAATTTTTTCCCTCTACAAGATGAAGAAAAGGAATAATATGTACATTTAAGTAAGGTGCTTTGACTATTTGAGTTCTATTTATCTAATTTTAGGTTCCCCAAGGTCACACAAACTGATGGCCTATGATAAAATGTAAATATTTAGTTTAATAATTTGTTGGCTGTTCTTTGAAGAATGGATGTGCCTTCTCAAAGCCTAAATGGTTGGCACGTATAACTTTAGGTAAGCTGTGTGGAAAGGCAAAATGAACAGAGAGAGAGTCGAATGATTCTCCAGTGACTTTAATCACCATAGGACTACAACTGCATTATGGGGCTTCTCAAACAGAGGTCTGGACAGCTTCTAACCCCACAGAGAAGGATTCCAGAATGTGGGGAGAGGGTGGCGAATGGAAGTAGCATCATTATTTGCATAAAAGTGCTACTTGTGCTCGACCATCTTGATTTGCTTCACAGTTTTGTTTTGCCACCACGTTTAAAGAAGTGATTCTCAACTGCCCTCACCCCCCCCAATTTGGCAAAGTCTTTTTGTTTTTAATAGGGTCTCTCTCTGTCATCCACGCTGGAGAGTAGTGGCAAGGTCATAGCTCACTGTAACGTCAAACTCCTGGACTCCAGTGCTCCTCCCACCTCAATCACTAATGTATTTTTTTTTAATTTTTTGTAGACAAGAGGTCTCACTATGTTGCCCAGGCTAGTCTTGGCTTCCTGGCCTCAAAAGATCCTCACACCTTGGCCACTCAAATTGGTAGGATTACAAGCATGAGGCACCACACCCTGCCTCCAATTTGGTAAAATCTTGAGACATAATTGGTGTCACATGGAAGGGAAGTGATTTCTACTAACTTCTAGTGAGTAGAAGCCAAGAATGCTGCCAAATATTCTACGGTATATAGGATGGGCCCTCACAATAAATATCAAAATGTCAACAGTATTTCTCTAAAGCCTTTCTCAATTTGCCATCACCAAATTACCTTAAAATCTGGTGAAAACATGTTTGCTAGATGAAACACGGGATGCCTAGTTAACTTTGAAATTTCAGAAAAACAACACATAAGCATATCCCAAATATTTCATGTGACCTACTTATACTACAAACGTGGCTCCCCCTTTACCTGAGAAATAAGTATATTTCCATTTGTTAAGTGTGGCAACCCCACTTCTAAAGACTCCACATTTTGGAATGGATCTACAGAAATGATGATTCTTCAACTCTCTCCCAGCCTCCAAGAAAGAAGAGGTTGTTCATCTCTTCAGTGGGAGGCCTGAACATTCACGCTACATTTTACAAAGTAGAGTAATTTTTCTTTTTTTTTTTCTTCTTTTTTTCTTGGAGACTGAGTCTCCCTCTATCATCCTGGGTAGAGTGCTGTGGCTCAAACTCTTGGGCTCAAGCAACCCTGGAAGCCTCAGCCTTGTAGGTAGCTGGGACTACAGGCATGTTCCACCATGCTTGGCTAGTTTTTCTATTTTTAGTAGAGATGAAGGTCTCACTTTTGCACAGGCGGGTCTCAAACTCGTGAGCTCAGGCAATCCACCCATCTTGTCTCCCAGAGTGCTCGGATTACAGGCTGGAGCCACTGCGCCCGGCCCAGAGTGCTGTAATTTAAGACAGGTTGGGGGAATCTGGCTTAAAGATGGTTCCACAGTGTTTTCCTTACCCGGCACTCCCAGGTACACAGGGCCCACTGCCTCAGGCTAAGCTGTCCAGGTCTCCTTCTCTGCTTCCAGGAGCCATCTTGATACAAGAGGTAGGAACCAGAAGTCCACTCTTACAACATGGAGATTGCATCACATTTTCTGATTCAGTCCTTGTCCAAAAAGACTCATCTTAGAGGTGCTTGCACAGCTAAAAGAGAGTATTTTCTCCTGTGCAGCTATCTTTCCTCTCATATAGG